ACAACAAAACAAACATTACCACGATAATCAGCGTGTCCAGTAGCCTATGTACCATGTGTTTTTAAGGTTCTGAGAGCTCAGGTTTGGCCGACAGGTAGGTCCTCGGAGATTGCCGCGAGTGTACGCTTCATGATAGATGGGAGCTCTAGAACTTGTGTCATTGTAAAGACGGTGCTCCGGTGTCTAGTTTAAGAAACTAAAAACCGGAGGACTCTAGCTCTTGTCGTTCAAAATTTATTAAAAATACATCGGAGTTCGCTATTTATTGAAACAGATAGTAGAACGGGTTTGTATTCAAACGTCTCAAGCGGAACCAGATTCGATGAGACGGACACAATGATGTATATCGTACCCTTTATTGACATGGATCTATCAAATGGTGTATCATACTTATACTTTTGTGCCATACAAAAAAGTTTTTCCACACATAGCCTAGAGGATTTCTAAAGTATATCGAAAACCTCTTGTGACTAAGCCATCTTGATAGCGGCAGTCGGGAACGTTTTTTCCTGTTCTCCTCTGATATAGTACAATGAAATGTACGATTCAGTTTCTTTATATTCGAAAATGTTTTCTCACTCATTTTTTTCTCCTAACGGTACAATAAAAATGCAAATTACTCACATATACGCCTATTATTCAGTTTTCTTTTCTTACGTTCTTAGTACATGCACTATGGACTTTAGTTATTTTTCTTTTTTCGTACAGATACACTGAAATGTCGGGAATTATTTATAAAAAATGTTCGGCGATTTTCAAAAAGTCCATATATAATTTCCTTGAGGATTTTCTAGATTCTAATATATTCAGTAAAAATGAAAATATTCAGTAAAGTAATACAATAAAAAATGTTGGTTTTCCAAATATCTCCTCGGAAACCTACTTCAAAAAAGGGTTTGGAGTTAGTGTCTTTTATAAAAAGATGCCTCACAGTTGCTTCCGTTGGTTGTTGGAAACCCAAATTCTTCCGTTCTTTCCGTTCTTGAGTTATTCAACAAACAGCCGCAGGCATCATAATATGAAAAGGATAGTAGAAATGTCAGCAGGACAAAAAGAGAAAATGTTCGTCGAATTTTTCAAAGTTTTCTGGGAGAAATATTCATCCAAGAACACGTTAGGAAATCTTTTGAATATTCTTTTGAAAAGTTTTTTATTGTATTACTTTACTGAAAAGTAATATTAATTTTATGAATACTCCTATTTCGAGTATTACTGTTACTATTACTGGGAGTATGATTACTGTTCAGGATTACTTTTGCCAGTAAGGTAATATATACAATATTTGTATTACTGGTAACAGTAACAGTAATATGCCACCCCTACAATGGACCTCGTTTTTGACAGTCTCAGCTTTTCAGAGAACTGGTTTCTGATAATTTTGTCAGAGCTTTCAAACATACCCCAGCTGACTGAAAACCACTTCAGCAATCTAAATTACTATTCGAATCTTTTTAACTCTCATCATCAGAAGAAAATGTTAAAAATAAAGGCCGGCAGATAATTTTGTCCAGCACTTTACGCAAAATTGTTAAGTAATACAGATTAAAAGGGTATCATGGATTTTTGTGTTTTTTAGATGGCACCGTAGTCACAGATAAAGACCCGGCATTCGCTTATGCTATCACCCCAATCGCATAAAAATGATTGAATTGTTCCACCGAAATAGTCATTTATTGACACCGCTAAACAGTCACCATAAGCAATTCCAGCCCAATTTGGATATAATGAGGTACTATCTGTCCATTGATAAGAACCTTCATTTTCATCCAGATAATAATTAATATATTGCGGAATTTTTGATTTTGCAAAACAATTCATTTCTGCTTGATCATGTATAATAGGAAAGCGTGCAGGCAAATTTAATAGTAATGGTT